ACAGGCAGAGTAGATTTAGTATAATTCTTAAGGGTCTTAGCATTTTCAGAATGGTAAATGAGTCCTGGCTTCAGCTTAAAGTCACCGGCTGCATTAGCTCCTAACAAGAGAGCCAGTCTGTCCTTTAAAGCTTTGAAGCCAAGCATTGACCTGTCCTCTCTAGCTGTGAAAGTTCTGGATGGCATCTTCTTCCAATGTAAGGCTGTTTTGTTTGTATTGAAAATCTGTTGTTTAGTGTATCCACCATCACTAATTATCCTAGGTAAATCTACCGGGTAAGTTGCTACAGCTTCTGCATCAGCACTTGCTCCTTCATTTTGCACTGTTATGGAGATGGCTGGCTTCTTTCCTTAAACTTCATGAATTAACTTCTGCTAGTTTCAGACTCTTCTGTAGCTTCCTCCTTTCTCTCAGCCTTCACAGAATGGAACAGAGTTAGGGCCTTGCTCTGGATTAGGCTTTGGTTTTAAGGGAATGTTGTGGGTGGTTTGATCTTCTATCCAGACCACTAAAATTTTCTCCATATGAGTGATAAGGCTGTTTTGCTTTTTTATCATCCATGTGTTCATTTGCGTAGGAAATGTAAGAATTTTTCCTTTGCATTCATAACTTGGCTGTTTGGCATACAAGACCTAGCTTTTGGCTTATCCTGGCTTTTGACACAACTTCTCTACCAAACTTAATAAGTTCTAACTTTTGATATAAAGTGAGAGACATTTGGGGAAAAGAGGGGCTGCTTGGGTGGCTCAGTCGCTTAAGTATTTGACTCTTGATTTTGGCTCAGTTCATGATTTCAGGATCGTGAGATCAAGCCCCGCATTGGGTTCTGTGCTGGGTGTGGAGCCTGCTATAATTATCTCTCTCCCTAGCCCTCTGCCTTTCCCTCCCACTCTCCTTCTCTAAAACAAACAAACAAATAAACAAATAAATAAAGTGAGAGACATTTGCCTCTTCTTTTCACTTGAACACTTAGAGGCTATCTTAGAGTTATTAATTGGCCTAATTTCTATATTGTTTTGTCCTGGAATAGGGAGGTATGAGGAGAGGGAGAGAGATGGGGGGAATGGCTGGTTGGTGGAGCAGTCAGAACACAATGGCCAGTTGGTGGAGGGATCAGAAAATACATTTATTAGGTTTGGCATCTTATGTAGCCATAGTTGGTGGCATCCCAAAACAATTATTATGATAAAATCGGAGATAATAGATCACAGATAACCATAACAAATACAATAGCCGTGAAAAAGTTTGAAATACTGGAATTACTCAAATGTAACAGAGACATGAAGTGAACAAATGCTGTTGGAAAAATGGTGCTGATACCTTACCTTGACATAGGGTTGCCACGGACCTTCAATTTTTAAAAAAATGCGGTATCTGTGAAGTGTCATAGAATGAAGAGAAATGAAATGAGGTATGCCTGTGATAATTTTCCATGTCTTCCTCTTCCCAGCCCCTGGCAGCCACCAGATATACTTTTTGTCTTCCTGTGAATTTGATTCTTTTTGGACATTTTATATATATGCAATAATAAAACATATGGTCTTTTGTGTCTGACTTCTTTCATTTAGCATGTTTTAACTGTTCATTCTCATGGTAGCATGAATCAGGATTTCATTCTTTTTGTTTTTATGGTTGAATAACATTTTATTATATAGATTGGTACATTTTGTTTGTCCATTCTTCAGGTAATTACCATTTTGGTTGTTTCTACTTTTTGTATATTATAAAGAATACTGGTATGAATATTCATGTATAAATTCATGGTGGACCTATGTTTTTATTTTTCTTGGTTAAATATCTAGAAATGGAATTGCTGAATTATATGGTATTTCTCTATTTAATATTTTGAGAAACTGCCAAACTTTTTCTACAGTGGCTGCACAATTTCAATTCCTACCAGCAATAAATGAAGGTTCCAGTTGCTCCACATGCTTGTTAACTAGTCTGGTCACTTTAATAATTATTAATAATGTGTTTGAATTGAATTCTACCACCTTCATAGTTATTTTTTAATTCATCTTATTCATTCTTTGTACCTTTATTCTTCCTTTCTTTGCTTTCTTCTGGGTTAATCAAGTATGTTTTATTCTGAAAGATTTTCTGTTTTTAGGTTTTTAGTTATACATTTATTTACTATTATTCTAATAGTTACTGTGAAGAGCAAACCCTATTCTTTTGTAAAATAGTGCTTATTTCATTTCCTAGCCAATTGAGAATTTCTGTACTAATTGACTGCATGTTTCTCCTATCCTTTGTGCTTTTTTATGTCTATTAGAAAACTTACAGGGTACTGTTTTTATTTCTGTGTCAGTTTGCAAACAATTATTTGCTTATACTTTCTCACTTTTTCCTTGTGCTTTTCATAAATTTCTGTAGTTTTCTGACTGAAGGCTCAGTTTCCTTCAGTCAGAAGAACTCTACTATTTCTTTTATTGTAGGTTTCTTGATGGTAAATTTTTTCAACTTTTGTTGAAAATAACTTATTTCCCCTACTTTTTTTTTTTTTTTTTTTTAATTAAGTGTACTCCATGCCCAGTATGTGGAGCCTGAACTCCTGACCCGGAGATCAAGACCTGAGCTGATACAAAGAGTCAGACACTTAACCAACTGAGCCACCCAGGCACCCCATTTTCCCTGCTTTTTTAATGGATGACTTAATGAATGATTTTAGAGGATTTTAGATTGGCAGTATTTTTTCCTCTTACTATGCTGAAGGTTTACTCCATTGTCTTTTCATTTCCATTGAAATGTCCTCCTACATTGTTATCGTTGTGTCTTTGAAGTCAACCTGTCTTTTATTCTCTGGCTGCTTTTAAGAATTTCAACTAGTATTTTGTTTTTTAAGTAAATTTTGGGTATTTTAATAAGTTGTGAGTAAGATATGCCAATTTTTTTTTTATCCTGCTTAGTGGACATTGGACTTTTTGAATCTCTACTTGATGACTTCTGAAAGTTTTGAAAACTTTTTAGCCATTATTTTTCAAAGATTGCTGTTGTCTTGTTTTCTTTTTCATCATCTCCCTTGTCTCTGATTTTCTAATTTAGACATATTTGAGACCTTCTTAGTCAAGTCTCATGTTTTGTGTTGTTTTGTGTATTTCTCTTTTTTCTTTGTGTGTGCCAAGGTGGATATTTTCTACTGAGCTGTCTTCTAGTTCACTAATTCTCTCTTTAGCCATGTCAGTTGTTCTGTTAAACCCATCCAGTGACTTCTTAATTTCAGATGCTGCATTTTCAATTTTAGGATGGGCATTTGATTGTTTTTCAGATTCCATTTGTCTCTTAAAATTCTTAATCTTTTCATCTAGTTTTAAAAAATGTTATTGAACATATTAATCATAAATGTTTTTAGTTTTGATTTAAAACTTGATAAAACTTGGTGAGAATTTAACTGATTTCTTCTTACTAGCTTCTGTCTTCTTTCCTGCTTTGCTCTAAGCAATAATTGCTTGCGAACCAGCTCATCGTGGAGAGTCCTATCTTTAGTGTTTAGACTAGCTGGTTGCCTCAGTTTTCTGATATACCCGAGAAAAGTTATGATTTCTTAGGTTATCTTTCTTTTTGTCTTGTTTGGCTGGAAGCAGTGCTTTTTACAGCTTTCACTACATCATAAGCAGAAGGCAGAACTCCATCATAAGCATTTTAAAGTCCCTTTCTGATAATTTTAAAGTCTGAAACAAATGTGAGTCTCTGTTTTGACTTTCCCCCAATTTTTGCTGATTTGTTTATGTTAATTAAAATTTATTTTTAATTTTTTTTAAAGCATGCCCTGTAATGTTTATTGGATACTAGATTGGGTAAAATATTTGCAGAGGGTCTGTAGAATGTTACTTTCCTCTGAAGAGAGTTATTATTTTTTTTTTAACTGGCAGTTCTAATGCTATAAAATCTTGGTTTTTGGATTTATTAGAGTTCATATATTGCTAGTTTGACCTTACTCCTAAGGCATGGCTTTTCTGGAGTCTCAAGAGCCCAGGGTTTCTTTTCTTTTTTCAATGCTCCTCCATCTTGACAGTGCTTGCTTGCCAGCCTCCATCTCTACAGCATGACTGGGCTGCAGAAATGTCCTGTTGGCTCTTTAGTTGCCTATCAGCTGTTTTTGGATAGATTCTCAGCATCTTGTCCTGCATACTTGTAGGCTTTGGTATTAGTTAATGGTTTCAGGGGAATTTCCATGTAGATTTATGGGTTCTTTCTCTACACGTCTTTTTAGGGGTCATTTGTCACCCTGAGGCCCCATCTGCTTTGGCAACTGCAGCTTACAACCTCTGCCAGCTTAGTCCAGTAAGCCTACAATATTATGCTTGGGCTTTATTTTCATTATTGATTTAGAAAATCTCTTATACAAAAGTAATATTTAAATGTGGAATTTGCTTCATAGGCTCTCAGAGAATGTAGCCCCAGAACTCCTACTTGTATTGATTCCTTTCCTGTGCCTTTAGAAAAGTTGTTTCATATGTTTTGTTTAGCCTTCATTGTTGATCTTGAGATTATATATATATATATATATTCCTAGAATTTCTTAGGAATTCTTAGGAATCTCGAGATTTTATATATATATATATATATTCCTAGAATTTCTTAGGCAATATTCCTAGAATTTTACTAATCAATACACTGCTATATTCCTAGAATTTTATTAATCCTGGAATTTTACTAATGCTTAGCACAGTTCCATTAATATTGGTGGCTGTTGCAAATCTTTTCCAGGTTCCTACTGTGTTAAACAGATAAAATCAGTCTTATATAATAATTACCACAGACCATGAGAACTACAAAATTATTAACTTTACATTTATCTTTTGGAATAAAAGCGGGTATTGGGTACATTAGGAAAGATATTGAAGGCCAGAGTACAAATGAGGAATCAGTACTAACTACTAAAGCTCTTAATTAAACTTCAAATCTGACATAATTTTCTATTTTTTGAATTATAATTACTGGAAGGTTTTCATACAATTGGGACTTCTTACCATAGTCTCTCATGTTTTTATCTCTAGGAAGATGAAGTCTTCGGTACATTCTGAAGAGGATGATTTTGTCCCAGAACTACATAGAAATGTTCACCCTCGAGAGCGGCCTGATTGGGAAGAAACACTTAGCACGATGGTAAATCAGTTTTATGCATATATATGTGTGTATAGTTTACTTCTATAAGGAGAAGGAACTGATGAATCCTTATGAACTTTTTTAGTGTTGTTTTCTTATTTTATTCAGAAAGTAGCTATTGAGCAAATAACCTATTCTAAGCAATGTTTAAACTTTGTGGGCAGAGCCCTGAACAAAACATACCAGCTTCCTGCCTTCGTGCAGCTTATATTTTAATGGTTTAAGAGGAGATGGAAATAATTAAGTATATAGTATGTCAAATGATGGTAGGTGCTATTGTAGAAAATTAATGCAGAGTAGTGGAGTTACAGAGTGGTAGGATAGCATGGGAAAGGATGGTTGGTAGCTTTATAATAGAGGCCACAGAAGGCCTCTGGGAGAAGGTAAAATTTGAGCAAAGGATGTGAGGGAGCGAGTAGTGTGCTTATCTGGAAACATCATTTTAGGCATTGGAAGGACAAGTTAAAGGCTATCACATAGGAATAAAAAGTAAGCTGGAGGAAACGCAAGTAGGACATGTGGCTGAAATTGAACAAGCCAAGGGAAAGTAGAAGGAGATGAGGCCAGAGAGTGGTTTGGGTGGATGGAGAGCAGATCATGTAGTTTCCTGTGGTACTTTATAAAGACTTTGGTTTCTTTGCTGAGTGAGATGGGAAACCATTGAAGGATTTTTGGCTGACAAGTGACATGATCTGTCTTAAAATTTTAAAGGAAGTCTCTGATTTCTGTGAATAGGCTGAAAAGGGAGGCAAAAGAAGAAATAAGACCAGTTAGAAGGTTATTATTATAGGTGAACAGTAACAGTAGCTTGAACTGGAATGGTAGATGTGGTGAAAAATGGTTAGATTCTAGAGAGAGAGTTCTGCAGATAAAACCTCCTGTTTTTGCAGATTAATGGGATGTTAGAGAGTGAGCTAGAGAGATGTTAAAGATGACTACGTTTTTTGGCTTGATCAATCTGAAGAATGGAGTTACATTTACTGAAATGCTGGAAAAGCACTTTTTATTGGGGATTGGGTAGAAAAATCCTATGCAGTTTAGTTTTCCACATGATGGTTTGAGATACACATTTAATCTGTTACAACTTTTTGTGGTTTGGGTCTGTTAATAAGAATGGTGAAATTCCTTTTGTGAAGAATAACATTTTACTAAATTGTAGTAAAGTTAGTGTTTCTTAACCACCAAAATTTGAATGCAAATATTCATGTCACTGATGATCTGTAATGAGATTTTACATATTTGATTTTTGAAAATGCCTTTTCACTCATGTATTGCCAAATACGTATCCCAACCAGTTCATGAGCTTGTGATTTTAATTGAGCATATTTGTCTCTTGGAAAGCATTTATAGAATTCTATTAGATTCTTCTCTTGATATTGACCTTTTAGTATAACATTATATTACAAACATCCTGTTAAAGGTGAGGTTGAAGCTCCTCAATTGCAAAGTTAAATGGATTTTGCAGTGTGGACATTTTCTTTGTACCGATGATCCGAAAAGCCTTGCTGGAACTGTAGTTTGAGTTCAGAAAATATGTTCACTGAAAATTTTTGTGGTAATGGAGATCTCTCTTCTTGCTTTAGCATTTGGTAGCTTGGAAAATATGTATGACAGCTCGTGATTGTGATTCTAACATTGATCACAGTGTTTCTCATAAGCTATGTTTTGCTTTGCAATATTAGGTTAGATTCATTGAGAAATAGTATCAAATATGCAGTGAAAACTTAATTATGAAAACCATTTAGTATTCATTAACAGAGATTGAAAACAGGTCCAACTGAACTTTTTCTGTTTCACCCATATTTTTTACCAAAATTGGCATGAAGTATCTTAGTAGATTCCACTTGGACTGAATGAATGTTGAATTTATTTCAGAACATTGTCAGCTGTAGTTGTCCTAGGCAGACTGTGCATGGGGCTAATTCTTCAGCCACTTTAAAGTCACATTGACTCCTTAGCATCTTCACAGTATTGGTTACGTTTGTTGACTCATCAAGAGTTAAGGGAAACCACTTGAAATCATTTTGCCTTATTTTCAAATTGACTCTTGATTTTGCTCTCAATGCCCTCAAGTGTATTCAAGCCTGTACTTACTGAAAGACTATTAGGCTTAAATCAGTTTGTTTTCTCTGGATTTCTTTGCTGCAGTCAAACATGATTTAATTGATTCACCATTAGCCAGTGGCTTTCCTTGCTCTGCTGACAAGTGATCTACTTGGGAATTTACTCTGGATGCAGCCTTGTTTTTATTTTTGTGAAGAAATTTTATTTTTGTATGATGCTTTACTCACTTACTCCGTTTTAGAGTTTTCTCACTTTTCAGATTGTTGTTTTCCTGTGAGTTGAGAATATTGTGATGAGTGCATAGTTTGGTGATGTTTGATCTATAGCCTTTCTTTCAGCACAGCTGTGGTGTCAGCACATAATAAACACAGTTTTTTGCCATCTTATTTGATAACGAAACCCACATTCTCCTGTGTCTTAAAAGCATGACATTGGTAGTCCACTTATCTCTTCTTGGCTTATTTTTTATATGTTGTGTACAAATTAGTGATTTTAAGCACATGGTATGGTGATACATGGGGAACTTGGAATGCTGCTGAGTTCTAGCTTCATAGTATGGTGCATGGTGTGCTGAGCAGTATGAATTGGTGTCTCATAAGGTCTCTCTCACAGCTGCTCAGCTCTGTCACTGTAACGTGAAAGTAGCCATAGATAATATAGAAATGGGCATGGCTGTGTTCCAATAAAACTTTATTTATGGACACATATTTGAATTTTATGTAATTTTCACATGTCATTAGATAATCATCCTTCTTTTTTTGTTTGCTTGTTCCCCCATACATTTAAAAATGTTAGTTTATGGACTATATAAAAACAAGCATTGGGCTGGGTTGGCCCAAGTTTTGGCCCCTGCCTTATATAATTGTAACTTAAGATGTAAGGCTTTCTGAAACCTTTCAGGTAGAAAGATAAAATAAAATAAAAATAAAAATAGAACCAAATGTTTCGATTTTACTTCTTATAGTATGTTGTTCATATCCAGGTCTTAATACTTCATCTCATTCTAGTTAATTATGGATGTTTCTGTTTCCTTTTACTATATTGTGAGTTTTTGAGAAAGGATAAAGATAATCTTGTATTCATTTTATTGAAGGATAAAGTTTAAGAGGATATAATCATGACTCTCATACAAATATAAAATGAACACATGCCGAGGATATTTAACTCATTAACTAATGAAGGAACCAGTCAAGTGTTACAACTCGATTCGAAGGAGATTTGGTTCAAAGGAGAATTCAGAGTGCCTTACTGTTAGAGATTAATCAAGCTAAAATAGATGCAAATGGATGCAAAAGCTGGCAAAACTCTTTAGTTCCACTAGACACAATTTGCATTTCTGTGGACAGGAATTATTTGTACTATTCGTTTTCTGCAAGTTAACTTCTCTGCAGAGATGGAAAATAATCTCAGCAAAGACAAGCCCCACACCCTCTGTCAGATCAATGAATCCCTAGAGGTACTAGCATCCCATGGAAAAAATACTCAGTACTCCGGCTCAGTGTGAGTGTGTGTAAACACAACTCTTGTAATGATTTTGTATTCTAAAGCTTTTCTGAATTTGTTTATTAGTTCTGACAGTGGTTTTTTTTTTTTTTTTAAGACTTTATTTGACAGAGAGAGAGACAGCGAGAGAGGAAACACAAGCAGGGAGTGGGAGAAGGAGAAGCAGGCCTTCCCTCGAGCAGGGAGCCTGATGCCAGTCTCGATGAGGAGCTCGATGTGGGGCTTGATGTGGGGCTCGATCCCAGGACTCTGGGATCATGACCCAAGCTGAAGTCAGACGCTTAATGACTGAGCCACCCAGCTGCCCCAGTTCTGACAATATTTTGTTGGAGTCTTTAGGGTTTTGTATATAATATGTCGTCTAGAAATAGTTACAGTTTTACTTCTTCCTTTCTGATTTGTAGGCCTTTTATTTCTTTTTCTTGCTTAATTGCTCCCCGTAGGATTTCCAGTACTATTCTGAATAGACATGATGAGAGTGGGCATCCTTGTCTTGTTCCTGATCTTAGAAGAAGAGCTTTTAGCTTTTCATCATTGAGTATGATATTAGCTGTGGGCTTGTCATATAGGGCCCTTATGTTGAGGTACATTTCCTGTATATCATCTAGATTGAGAGTTTTTCTCATAAACGGATGTTGAATTTTGTCAGATGCTTTTTCTGCACCTAATGAGATACTGATATGATTTTTATCCTTCATTTTATTAATGTGGTATGGACATTGATTGATTTGTGGATACTGAACCATCCTTTGATCCCTGTACGAATCACACTTGACCATGGTGTAGGATCCTTCTAATGTACTGTTGGATTCAGTTTGCTTATTATTTTGTTGAGGATTTTGCTTCTATGTTCACCAGGGATGTTGTTCCATAAATTACTTTTTTTTTAAAAAAATAATTTATTTATTTATTTGACAGAGATCACAAGTAGGCAGAGAGGCAGGCAGAGAGAGAGAGAGGAGGAAGCAAGCTCCCCTCGGAGCAGAGAGCCCGATGTAGGGCTCGATCCCAGGACCCTGGGATCATGACCTGAGCTGAAGGCAGAGGCTTAACCCACTGAGCCACCCAGGCGCCCCCATAAATTACTTTTTAAGTATGTATTTATTTACTTAGAGTGTGTGTGTGTGGGTGGGGGAGGGCAAAGGGAGAAGGTGAGAGAGAATCTCAAGTGAACTCACACTGAGTGAGGAGCAGGGCCTGAGATCATGACCTGAGATCATGACCTGAGCTGAAACGTTGCTTAACCGACTGAGCCATTCAGGTGCCCCTTGTAATTTACTTTTCTTGTAGTGTCCTTGTCTGCTTTTGATATCAAGATAATGCTGGCCTTTTATAATCAGTATGAGAGTGTTCTGTCTTATATTTTGGAATAATTTAAGAAGGGTTGGTATTAATTCGTCCTTAAATGTTTGGTAGAATGCAGTAGTGAAGCT